ATACCTCTAAAGATGATGACATTTGTGCACACAAACAATACCCTTTCTTTGCAGATTCCTGTTAAAATAGTTTTGAAAAATATTTCAAACCAGAAACTTTTGTCTATGGGTTTTTCTTCTTTAGCTCAAAAGCCCTTTTCCATAAGTCATCTATGAATATTCTCGTGAATTCCTCCTCCTCTTACTATACAATGAGCAAAAATATCTCCTTTTATACACATTTGAACCTTTTTAGACAGATTTGTCATTGCTTAGCCAATTATAGGCTGACAAGATGGTCATTAATGAGGCCGAAGCTACCCGCAGTTTGGAGAAAAGGCAATTTGTTCTTGTGGCCGCCAGTACAGTGTAGCTACTCCCCCTAATTGATGTACTGTTAGCCTATGACCAGTGCGATCTATAGTGTGGGGGCTGGAGGAGGAGGTTAGTGAGACCCAGGTGGAATCAATTTCTGTAGGATTCTGCTGACAGCACCCGCCATCGCATCATAGCGGCGAGATGGATGCTCAGAATCTGCATGGGACAATGAGGAAAAAGGTCATGAAGGAATATTGCATTTTTCTATTTTTTCCTCCCTCAACGAAAGTGTACTCACATTTCCTCGAATTGCAAAATGCTATTGTGGTGGCGTGTAGAGCCGCCACGATAAACCCGTCACTCCTGCTATGACGAATGGGGACTCACTCCACTGTGGCGTTTTCATCTCAGAGCTCTTTGGACAGGTTTTCCAAGAGGTACACGTAATTGTATCGGTTATTGGAATAGATGGAGTGACCACCGTAGCCCTCCACTGGCGCTGCTGTGGCACAGGCGTCTCCTAATGAGGTGATAAACACTCCGTCTAAGCAGAATCTACTGGCCATTAGAAAGATCGCGGCCATTCTAATGAAACGTCTGCTGTTGTAGTGACACGATTTATACATTTGTGTTGTATCGCGCCGGGCGGCTGCGGAGATGAGATTATCCCCACGTGAACCGCACTACTCGAATTTAATATGTTACATGCTGTTTTCTCATGCCGGAGTGCGACATCACATGTAAAGTGACTTGGAACATGATTAGGAGCTAGTCAAGCACGACGAGCTCAAAGGACTTGTAAGCTTGTGGGTCATTTTCCTGCAAATGATTGGATATGTGTGCTCTAAAAGGTTCTTGCATTTTAAAAGTATATTCTATGATGACGAGGATCCATTGGTTTTATATAGCGGTTTTTATAACACTTCTCATGTCATTCATTCACTTTATATTCGGTGGTTATAAACTCCTACTGTAGTCACAGCTGGGCAAGCAATGCAACCAGTATGTGCCATTGGCCCCTCTGGCCCTCAGGTAATGAGGGTGAAGTGTCTTGCCTAAGGACACAACAGCTTGGCACTTTATCAGCAGCGGTCTACCGTGGCACCTGGTGTTCTCAGAGGTCCCCCATCACAGCACTAACTGGATCTGGCTTTCACATGCAGGTGGAGCCATGTATGTGAAAGCCTATGTGGGGGATTGTTTGGCATTTTCAATATCACTATGTCATCCAAGCACATGCTTTACCAACATTTTATAGCATGGTAAACTTCTTCAAAGTCAAATTTGTTATGGACTAAACATTGCTCAACGTCTGCATATAATTTAATGTATATCAGTAAGTGCTATTGTAGTACTTTCTTAAATAGCACATTGTACAGTTTTTGTTTTCCATACATGCTAGTATCAGAAACAAGAAAATAAATAATGATAATTATTCTCAAGATCATGTTCAAGGGTATATATAATAATGCAAAATGTCTCTATCACATACTGCAATCAATATCTGAAACCATAGTAAACCATATCCATCTATTTTTAAAGCTATAAGTAAAACTTTCCCTGCAGACTGACGGTTTGTACCATTTGTACTGTATTTTGAACGGCTGCTGTTGCGATGAATAGATTCATGTTACATAGATATTTTTTCTTCTCGCTGTAGCTAGTGTGACATGTGCGGACTGACACAGAATATTATTACAAGCGAGCCGAGCGCAGCGGGATAAAATGACTCGCAGACATGTGGGTAGAGGTTCCAGGGGTTGGAATTTCAAGTCTGAAGCACTCTGGCTGAAGCCGTTCAAACAATGCTAATTGCGGCAGGGCCCGACTGTCAAAAGTGTGAGGATAATTAGAGTGAGGGGGCAAAGTGAACCTGGGGTGGTAAGTGTTTGGACATGACAATGCACAGGAGCCAATGCAAGTGCTGCAGAGGTAACACAGAGAAATCCAGGCTAATTAGGAGAGAACGCTGCAGAAAATATAAATGCTATAGCTGCCCCCTCAGGGACACACCAGAGCTGCAAACAACGCTGATTATTGGCCGATCACACAGAGCTCTGCTTGCACTTCTTAAATGGAACACATTTGCATGTTCTACTTAGATTTTTACCTAATGGTTTTCTCTGGATTGCAGTTACTTATTTCAGTGCTGGATCACAAAGGCTTCGGATAATGGATTTCTCTCAATGTCTCCTCGTCCATGAATTAACATTGTACTTAGAGAGGATCAAAATCTTTGGTTCAGCATATTTTTCAGGTTGTATTGAATATATTGTAGTGTTTTGTTTCAAAAGCTGTAAGAAAAGATAGTGGCTCAGAAGGTAGCCCATTGGCGTACTCTGGTAAACTCCTGTTGTGTCCTTGTACCACCAGACCCCTCACATTATCCACTGTGTCTGTTTGGAAAGATAAGTATATGAGAAACCTTTAGTTTGTCTAAACACAGCAATGGAAAAAAAAATAATCTCTGACGGCGACAATCCTATGTTTTTCTCAGATGTGTTCATTAAATGGACATTATGGTGTAAAATCAATACATTCATGATTCATTGTTTTATTTCAATTGATCCATGCATTGATTTTGCTTAATCCTGTATTGTCCTGCATTAAATGCTCAAGATAATTTTTGTTTTCAGATACCTTCTATTCCTGCCGTCTACTTCGTTGTAATTATTTATTAAAAATAGACATAGAGTTAAGATTAAATTAATTAATTAGCGAGCAAAGGACGATTAAAGTCCTTTGCGCACTTATGGAGTCCCTTAGGTTGGATTGTTTCTGAACAGTCAATAGACCAGTTTTATGAGGCTGTATTAGATCAATATACAATAAACAAACAAAAAATATTGAATTATTTCTAAATACTGTTTGGAAATATGTCAAACATATGATTCTAAATAAAGGCTAGTTTATGGGATAGGAAGTTTGTAACCTCCCATTACTCCAGAAGTTTAAAAAGAAGACATGTGGACCAGATTTTCAGCATGGAGACATTAGACTTTCATATTACTAACTTGTGCAATAACAAATGGACATAGAAGCTTCAAATGTTGTTTTGTAGTTTCCTTCCATATTTCCATTGATAATCATTGGTCTGTAAGACACAGCCAAGGGACATTAGAACATGAATCAATCACTATACGCCAATAAAACCCAATTTGTAACATGATCTTTTCCAATGTTGCCAATGTTTAGTGTAAAACCTCACAAGATCCAGCACCTCAGGGAGCGCCTAAATATTTTCAGAAAGTGGGTGCAGACCTGATTTAAATAGTTAATTTAACCTAAAGTAGTGCTTTTCAGTGGCTGCTCCCATCTGTTGTGTTCCATGTATAGATTTTTTCTCCCATGTGGACTCCAGACAGTCCCCTCTTCGATCACAGACTCCGCGAATGGATTATATTACACCCCATTCTACCGGGATTTGTTCTTTTCCCCTCTATCTCTACTTCCCAAAGCACATACAGAAAGAGAAACAAATGAGGAAGCTTGTAGAACCGTAAAACAAACCATCCTCTGCCCGCTGGCTTTAGTGTAGTCTTTGTATTTGCCGAAGAATTTATGAGGTTAACATTGGTCTCCTATGACTTTTAGTCGATGTCTCCGCCAACGAGCGAAGGCCACAGAGACCTGGGGAGATGGATTGTTTCGTCTTTGCCTATTTCGGTATGGTGCGTAATGGCCCGCCTGTTTAAAACTGTGGTAAACATGCGACTGCTGTTGTCTATTATTTTGCGCCGGAGGAATCTGTCAGCGTAATGTGTGGTCTTTGTTGTATTGGAGCACAGATCCTTTTAAGTCATAAATTGTATTTATCTTGCCTGTTTTAACTGGGGAGTCTGTCTGTAAAAGAAGGACTGAAGCAAATACTTCGAACAATTCTTGCAATACAATTGATACATTGGTTGGATATCATTGTTTTAGCTGTCTTACATTATGCTATAATAAAGCAATTTGGAACAAAAATGTGCGCACAAACATATTTCAATCTTAAAAATATAATGTGTAACTTCTTCATCAATAGTTCGAGGTTGACTCAATTGTCTCTGTAGAAAAATGTGTCTGCATTTGACCCATCCACTAGAACACAATGCCACAAATGCACACTTGTCCGGAGTGCCCTGTGACCCATGTCCAGTTGTTGCTTGGTCAGGACTTCCGGAGCTGGAGGACTTTACCTATAGTGTTTGTGGGAAGCCTGGAGTTCCTGGATGAAACTCGCCCAGACTCTACAGCAGCAAGCCTAAGACCAAGTCACTTTTTTGTGTGAAAACGAATTATGCAAAGTTTTATGATATATAGAAGTGGTGACAAAGCAATAACATGGATTGAAGCAGATGGCAAACTAACCAGTATAAATACTTGCCTAATGAGCGTACTTCGAAAACAGATACTTTTTTCATGGCTTATGAGTTTCGCTTGGTCCGTGGGATTGGATAAATGTAAAATATCAGTTTTACTTCAAACCATTGAAAGTATAAAGTTACATTAATAATCCCTCTATACAAAAGATTGCTTTCTGAACTGTTTTATTGAAATATGTAATCCATCTTCTTGAATACATTTTAAAACATTTGTATATTTTTGTCCGCAGACATTTCGCATCAAGTCTTTACATTAATACATCTTTGGGCAATTGCTTTTATTGTCTCTGAAGGGTGATTACTTACTATTGGTTCCTTATGCATCTTTTTCCTCCGCAGCTTTCAGTCGCGCTGCCTTGCCGTTCGGCCTGGTCAGGAGGGAGCTCTCCTGTGAGGGATATGCCATCGATCTGCGCTGCCCGGGGAGTGATGTCATCATGATCGAGACGGCCAACTATGGGCGGACAGACGACAAGATCTGTGACGCTGACCCCTTCCAGATGGAGAACGTCAACTGCTACCTCCCGGATGCCTACAAGATTATATCACAAAGGTACGGCTTTGGTTTCAAAACACCGCCAAGAGCTGGGGGCTACAGACCTCCTGCGGACCGGGAGCATTTTGACGACACTTTTCACAAAAAAAGAAATCAGTTTTATATCCAGCAAACACGTCAGCTTTCACAACCATTTATTGGACTATTTTTCGACATTTTGCCATGATACAAGTCCTTATGTGTTATTAGGTCCTCAATGGTAAATTTGTTTATACTTTTGAAGACTTTCTGAGCCCGAGCTTAACCCCTGAAAATCCCCAGGACCAACAATGCCTTTGACATATTAGAATAGCAGAGCACCTTGTTAAAACAAACTGGACATAGCCTCACAAGGCAAGGCAAGGCAAGTTTATTTGTATAGCACAATTCATACACAAGGCAACTCAAAGTGCTGAAAAAAACAAGAAAGCATTAAAATCATAAATAATCACAGAACAGTAAAATAACGATAAAAATATAAAATCCCTCAGTTGTATGCACAGCCAAACAGAACCACAAATAGTGGTTATGCAGTGACATTTATTTCACTGCAAAAAAGTTAGGCAACAAGCTAGCTCTGCATTTTTTACCTCACTGCTCAAATAGCAAAGATTATGAGTATCACATTGCTATCAAATGACCACATATTTAGCATTTCATGATCTTATAAAATATTGATCATGGATGAAACTTTGCTCTATTTCAATCCACCTCTGTGAGCTCTTCAGTCTGACTCTTTAAGATCTTATAAGTAAAGATATTGAAATCAACAGCTTTCACCTCGAACAATTCCTGTTCTTTTATCGACTGATGTGATGTGTAGGTGGCGTCTTAATAAAAGAGCGAGCTATAGCTTGAGTCTCGACTGTGAAGAATTGACAAGCATGCAGCCGATCTCTTCACACCTGCGGTTTGAGTCATAATCGCACTCGCACACATCCCCATCTCTCGGTATCAGACGCGGCTTTCGCTTTGTTCTTCTACTTCTGCTCGCACTCAAGTGGCAAAAGCTGCGGGACAATTTACATACTTCTGGACCTGTCCTAATTCAAACGCGCCGTTAGCAAGGCACATGGACTTTGATGCTGCGTCTCTACAGTGAGCAGAGAGAACGAACACGTCTTGAAACAGTAATGGCTTGGAGCTGCGGATATTGAAGTGGACCTGGTCTTAATGTCTTCAATGAGTGTTTTTTATTAAATAATGGCAATGGATTACATTCAACAAATCTATTAATGCAATAATCTTGATATATTTAGGGGTTTTGCTGTTAATGCTTGATTCCAAAATGCCACTTGTTTGCAGATATAATACTCCATTACGCTCGCTCCAAGGGCATTTCTGTTTCCTTTTAAGATTAATTAGATTTGAAATAGTAGATTAATAAATTCGCAGATTTGCAGATTATATTCATGCCTGTTGGACACTGGGTCCTTGATAAGATTTTCTTTCTTTCATTATCAAACTTTCTCTATAATAAGAGCTATTTGGATTTCATGAATGCACTAGCTGATGTCTAGACAACTGCCCTTCAACTGGTTCTAATACTTTTTTATTTAACTAATTAAGCATCCATTGAGCTCGATATTTTTTTTCCAAGGGAGACCCAGGTATCAAGTGCAACACAACCGATTGATAAATAATATGTTATTTTTTTATATTTGTGTTAATATCCTATAGCCAAGCCCAAACTGCTATAAGTATCCAAAATAAGTCTCATGAGACAGTTATTTATTCATGATTCATTTAAGTACTTTTCAATTAGTGAATAGAGAGATTGAGAACCTCTTCAAATGCAAGCAACAGTTAGCCCAGCCCATTCTTCCCCTCACAACTTGATAGAACAAAATTCAAAATCTCACCATAACAAGAGTCGATGCTTTAACCATTCTCCTCCTGCAAATCTTAGGTGTTCGGTCTTGTGGTGGTTCTGCCAAGAGGGGGGATGGATTAAATCGGTTTGTCAAAAATATGCGTTATTTAAAATTCAATTCAATTTATTCTCGTATAGCCCTAAATCACAACACTAATTATCTAGAGAAATGAAATGACACAATTCAAATTACTTTAAAGCTGGGGTGTCTAACTTTTCAACCACAATACATGGAACTAATTAACCCCATGAAGCTCAACTCAATCTGAAACCGTTTGGTCCCATCACTAGTTTTCACATGCAGGTAATTTTTAGTCAGAAAAGTGAGTAAGGGAGGACCACCTTCACTTATCCAATCAGCTTCAAATAGTGACTCATGCGGCTCTTTATCGCAGAATGATGCAGATAATGTTGTGGTCTAAACTTTACTTTCACAAGACCCCAGTTTTTAATTGATTTTTGTTAATTTGACTTTATTATCGGCACAGAAATCTATTGGAGAGAAGCATACATACCAAGCAATCATTTCGCACAATTCTTTTTCTCCCCACCTGTATGACGTTTTGTGCAAAGTTAAGCGAACCGTGAATAAATCGCTCCTGACAGAAGTATGTGATTTGAGACGCGGCATTAGCCTCAGGTAGCGAGTCAATGCCCATCATAATCATCCCTTTATCCCGGTCCCCCCCCTCTCTCTCTCTCCCCCCGACTGCTGTTTCGCTGTCAAACGGCACAGAAAACACCTCTGCTCCTCTGTTGCCTTTTCCCCCAGAGGTGTGTTTTGGAGTGTGTGGATTTTTGTAAAGGCCACTGGATGCACTATTCATAGCTGGTAACAGACACAGTTCATCTTCTAATGCACCGCGGTGTCCTAACCCGGCTCTTACAACTTTAGCATCGCCCACCATTCCACACCTTTATGGTTTTACCGATCTGTACTTGCTCCTCGGAGACCTCGGCGTGCCATCTTGCTTTTTCTTTTCCAAATTTAGCTCCGGTAATGTTGCTGCTGCGCCCCGAGGTGCCACCGCGACTGCTTCCATCACTCGTGTGTTGTCATGTCAGCTACCACCGCTTTGGCAGACCTGCGTTTTTCGAACTTATCTTTGTCCCAAATCCCCCCCAGAGGCACGGCAGCGCAAAGAAAGCGAGTGCAAGCTTCTTTAACACACTACCACGTTTCTAATGATCCAGATCAAAGGGAGTATCATAATTAAGCGTGAAGTGATAACCATGTTCAAGTATAGCGAGGGGAAGAAAAATAACATTGGCAGCCCTTGATTAGTCCTCCCTCGTTTTTTCAGAGGCGAACTAAAGCAGCCACGCTTTTTTTTTTTCACCGCGTTAAGCCTTGATGCACTACCCATATGGGAATGATTAACAAAAACACAGCGAGACAGATAAATAAACATATTAAACAAGAAGACGAGAAGCGGATGGGGAAACTGCGGCTGTTCCGTTGATTTGGAAATCGCATCTAAAGTATTTATCATCAGCGAGGCCAATTCTGAGAGGGGCAGAGCCAATCATTTTCGTCTCATGCGAAAGAAAATGTTTGGTTCCTTGCTTGAAAATAGTCTGAATGAAACATTTATAAAGATACGAATGGGAGAAGGACTAATGGATAGCAGTGCTTCCTCGTCGGCCTGTTTTCACAACCAGATTTCGGCTCGGACTATTCCCACACAGCGCACGAAACAAACTGTTTTGCTGAGTCGCATTGCATCATTTTTATTGGCCACCTACTATGTGACCCAGTAAAGTGGAGTAACAGAATAAATCTTTTAGACCATTGGAGAAGTAGCTCTTAGGTAAACAAGCACACACTCCCATAACAAAAGGCGAGGGGTAAGGTTGCGCTCCTCCATAGAAATTGCTTCCTCCACAGTAAACTAGCCGAGTAGTTTGTAGGCAATACAATAGTCTTCATCTCCTTAGGTCGCCTTTGGATGCTTTTACAGCGAGTGTCTGTTATGCACCTGTATTTATTATTCTTCTTTTTGAACAGGAACAATGCACGCTACTGAACATGTCTGTAGAAGTGCCAGTTTAAGCTACTAAGAAAAACAGCCAGGTGTAAGAATGCCATTAAAAGACGGATACATTAGTAAACTAAAAAGAGTAAAAGTAAGTACATTGAGTATAAACGGCATATAAGGCAAGGTGACAACATACATTTAACAAATATGACACAGGTCACGTAGCATACAGAGACATTTGTAATTGACTTGTAGTAGTTATTTGTGATCAATGTCTTTTATCAGTTGTAATTCAACACCTCATTCTAGGCTTTATTGTTGTATTTGTTTGCATTCAAAAAACTAAAACTGTAAAAAGATGCCTTTTTAGGGGAAGCAGTCGCTCCAGGTTTTGCTTTAGTTGTTTTTTAAGACATTTGATGTGAAACAAGGAAAAGGTGGGGGTAACTTGTTTGTTTTTAGGTTCAGTAACATTTAAAAATGGATTATACAATTGTGAAATGTTATCATATTTTTTAATGCAGATGGACGACTACAGAAATCAATTACAATAAAAGAAAAAGACAAGGAAAATGTGTAGTGTGGAGCTCCAAAAGTGTTAAAAGCGTTACCTCGGATGCAGCCCTTACCTTTGACAGTAAAAACTATCTTTCAATCATCACAAAACCTCATTGATAATGTTTTCTTCCTTGTTATGTTGGTTTACACTAGCAGCAAGTAACGGTCACAAATCTTTTTATCACACTGCTACCATTCCTGGCCAATCTGTTCTGTTATGTATCTGGAACCCAATCATTAAAATGAAGCCTACATAGATTCTTTGCAGCCTGAACTCAGCGTGCATCGTGTTTTCATGAGTCGGTACTTGCTATAAACACCAACAACAATCAGCTTGTGTGTTTTCCATTAGCATCTCTCTCATTTGCACTTTCTCTCACCTTATGTCGAACCGAACAGCTTTGAGGCACATTTTAACAAATAACATCTCCATACAAACCAATTGCTTAGGGTGCACTTTGGCAGACACATCCAACAGTGATGTGTTACTATGAAGCGATTGGCAATTAGCGGCTAGATCCACCCACAATTAAGAAAATTACCACCAGTTAATGGTTTAGCAAGTCGCAGTCATTTGCAAGTTAACACCATTGAAGTGAATTACCTTTTCCAAGTTTTAAGAGACACTACAATGCAACATTTTCTTTTCTTTTTTAGCTTTTAACCTTGTTTCAGGATCAGCACCATTTGAAACAGACTGCAGTTATTTGTAGCTCCTTTCTAGAGATTATTATTATTATTTGTATCATTATATATTGGGAGTAAACCGGCAACATCCAATCTTTCCAAATGCTCCTTCAAAAACTACTCCAAAACATGTGTGTAAGCACTTGTGTGTAAACAAGTGCTGTAAGGTATTAAGACCTAAGAGTTGGAATATCCACAAAAAAAAAAATAGAATAGAAGAATTCTGTAGATGTCTATTTCATGGTGGAAAATGAAAATACCACCACCAATAGCTTCACTATATCTAACTCAAATGTACACAAAATATTATAACGCTGATCTGAAAGAACAAATAGATTCATTGAGAGATTTTTGGTTTAAAAACACTGAGTTAGACCACACCCTGTTAGATTTAGACGCTATTCCATTATACTGCTATTACTATACATGTAAATGTTACTTGATATATTCTAAAATGAAATTAATTATTCTCAATATATATATATATATATATATAAGTCCTAACGTGAAAACAAACATCGTATCATATCTATTCAAGTGCAGTAAATCCGATCATACACAGACAAACTCGGGGTTACAGCACAATCGCAGAATGGAGGCTAACTATAAATTAGCATGAAGCAGACGCACAGTATTTAATGGTCCTGCTACTTATCATCCATCAGTCTCATATGGCGAGCGATGAAGATTGAATTAAACGGTGTCTCCGTGGATGCATTTAAGAGACTGTCTCGCTCTCATGTCCCGTCCATCCATTCTCATTTGGATGCAGGGACCCACTGGCCTGCGGTAGCCTCCGCCGAGCGCCCGGCTGCAGACAGACCATTAAGGCTAACGTCTTAAATGCAGCTGGCACCATATTGTCCGGCCAATGTTAAAGCAATCACTCGCTGAGCTCCCGTTCTATTTTTCAACTCCGTAATGGACTTTGTGCCTTGCTCTTATTCACATATACACAATGTTTAATAAGCTATTAGTATCTAAAGAGGGATGTTCTGCATATGGAGCAGACGGAGCAGGTGAAACAGCTCCCATAAATGGATGTTCGATTGTGTGCGTTTTTCAAAGTGCACCACGCAGCTTTTATTTTCTTGCCTCCGATTTGAACAGTCCCATTTCCAGAGTTACTAATGGTTTTTTGAAAGTTCTGTGCAATCTTGAAATCTCTGTCCATCTGGCTTGACTGCTGCTGCTGACCTGCTGCAATATTTATCCCCGGCTTGCAAATTGTTGAATGGCCTATTTCCGTGCCATTTTGTTTCTTCATGTTTGAATTGTTTATGTTGCTGACATTATTCTCAATCCGCCGGCCTCCAGAGAGCGCGATTGAAGTCGAGCCAAATCCAGCCTATAAAGCATATTCACACAAACATTGTCCTTCGCTGCCCCCTGTTTTATCATTATGATTATTATTTCAACTTTCTTCAGTTCGTTAAGCACAACTTCTAGCAATTCCAAAGCCTATCTATACTGCAACTAGGGCTGTAATTAACAATTATTTTGATAATTGGTCCATCAAAAGAAGGGATTTCTTTAAAATATAATTCCTTAATTATAAAAGGAGAAATTAATACATTTTAACAAGAGTAGACAAAAGCGATGCCATAAGTCATCAGACCTCTATGGTTCATAAAACAATCAATCAATTATTAACGTATTAAAAACTATTTAAATCGATTAGTTGCAATCGCTAGCTTAACTTGTTACAGCCCTAACTGCACCATTACCAAAACATTTCTGATAAAGGGTCTGCCACCTGCCTTTGTTTTTGTAAAATTACATGATTTATTCTGAAATGTTCCACAGAATGGTTTTAAACGTAGTATATAGGAGACAAGAAATAATACACATATTCTGTCATTTAATAACTTACAAATACAAATCTCACTTGGGGACGATCAAGAAAAAAACAAGTACGTGGGAAACCCTATATCACAAAAGTTCACCTTTTGATACAAGATGAATATATGTTTGTTTTGCTATCCGTGCAAATATTAGTAAAAATTATAAGTAAAAAATAACAATTGTAAACCGCTTTGTGACTCTGGTCTGTGAAAGGCGGTATATAAATAAAGATGACTTACTTACTTACTTACTTAAGCCTAAATACAAGCAATGTTTGTGTGGAGTAAAATCAGCTTGCTTCATGCTAAAATACACAAGTCTCAAATGCAACAAATCTGACATTCTGCTACATGAAGCATGCACAGTATAACAATAGCTACATACAGATCCCACATTCCCGTGTGTGTATTCAGCGTTACATAAAGATCCATCCATCATCACAGTCATGTCTCCAATGACCTTTGAATATTATTTTCAAGTTTCTTGGGTTATAAAAGAAATATGTTGTAATACTTTCGCACTATTGTCCTTTTATATCCTCTGACTAAGACCAACACCAGGATTTTACTCTGATGTCCCCATTTTTTATACGCAGATATTTTCCACGTAAAAGACACGGTGTATTTACTGCCACATTTTTGCATATCGCGGTGACTATATTCTACCCCACCGCATGCCTTAGTGCCTCCTAATGAATGTCTGCTCTTTCAATAGCACCATATAAAAGCATGCTAAAGCAAAATGCCATGGCCAATTCCTAACATGCCTTCAGCTGCTCCTCCACACTTCTCACTACATTTGGTTTTGATTCATTTAACGTTGTCATTCCTCTCCTCAAGGTCGCCCCACACGCTTAAAATCCCGGGATCCCATCAAAAATCATTATAACAGACCTCTTGCCTTTCATACGCTTGTCTTGTTTAGTGGTGTGGAAGAATTGTGGCGAAATCCCTTTGGTCAACGGTATATTTTTTCTTTCTAGGTGCAACAACCGTACGCAGTGTGTGGTTGTCACTGGCTCTGATGTCTTTCCTGACCCTTGCCCCGGCACCTACAAGTACTTAGAGGTCCAGTATGAGTGTGTACCATATAGTAAGTATTGCATTCCCGCTTCCCTCCTTCCCACCCTCCCCTCCCCACAATGTTTTTGATTGTACTCCGTAACGTATTATACTTGTTTGGCAGGTGCGTCAAGCGTGGCAGATCCAAATGTCTTGTCAAAGCGTAATCATAGTTTGAAATTACAAATGTGGAAAGACCAGAAGTGTCAGAAATGTCAAATCTTATTAAAACGCTTGGAAATTCTTGAGAGAAAAGGTGGTGTTTATGAAGGGCAAGTCACAACACCAGGAAAGCACATTTGCAAAGTGTGTCAACAAATCTTGGCAAAATTAAGTGACAAAGTGAATTTTTCGAAATTTCAGGCGTTCCAAAATTGCTTTTGCTTTTTAGTTTCACATTTTAATTTGTAAAGCTTTGACTCTCCTTTGGCTTAACCAACCACACCTCTCATTCTCAAAGTGTGACCATACTGAAAAGCTATTACCCAAACCATAATCATAAAGGTTTTACTAGCATACATTCTTTAGGCACATCACAGAATTTAGCTTTAGCTATTTACGAGCAAATGTCTATTTCATTTTTGCCACGAGAATGTACAATGAAACATATTTTTCCATTTCTCATCCCCTTGACCTCCTTTATACGAATGACTGTGTAGACGTGGCACCTTTTCAATTCCTGTATTATTAGACAAAACTCGAACGCAAACGTGTATAATAATTCAGACATGAATAACCATTGTAGTGTTTGGGTTTTAACGGACATTCGCTGCCTTCGATCTTTACAGTTTGCGCCGCAGCTTGACACATGCTAATTTTCCCGTGAGTGTAATTTCCAGCGCAAGAGAAATAGCCGTTAAATGTAGAATATGTCTGGGATCTAAATCTAACTTTTTAAAAGGGTGTTTTTCAGCGCAGTTTAGCAGAGCAGCTGCGTGCGACATCTCTCCCATGGCAGCATAAAACCTATGAAAAGTAAACATGTTTTAATATATTGACCCTGTTTCGTTCCTTTCCTTCAACAGACCTCCCTTTCTCCTTCTCAACAGCTCCCAGATGATTTAACTCTTTTCTCTGCATTTTGTTAACTTTCCAATTTTTCATGAGATGTCTCCCCTCTCCCCCCACCCTCCTCTCTCCACACACACACCTTTCCCCCCCTCTCGATCCCAGGCCCCACGTTTTGTCGGATCACTCATCAGTCATCCCATGCGCCGCTGTGGCTCATTGACAAGAAAAAGAAAAAGTTTTGTCCGTAGCAGCGCAGCGATGGCGGCGGTTGACGTGTGTGGGCGAGCTACTTTTTTTTTTTTTCTTCGTCAGATTCCACGTCTGATTTGTGCTTTTAAATGTTCGAACAGAATTACAGCCCTCAGGTCAAAAAATGCCAAAAATAACTTTTGCTTGCTCTGAGATTCTTCCATCGATCACAAGATATGAGTGAGACTGGAGATGTGTTCAAGATCTGGACTGAACCAGATGTTTTTTGTGCGCTGATTTACATGACGACAGCGCGCCAAATATGTTTTAGATTTACAATACCAAAACAGTCAATTCCAAGTTGGGAATATTCACATACTGGATTTTACAATGCTTGAAACCTGAACTATTTTATTCTGTCATTCAAAGAGCTTGTACCGGCCGTTCCTTTCTTTTTGATTGAGAAATATTTAAATCTGAATTTACCGTTTTATTGATTGATTGAGAAATTGAACAAGTTAATATGAAGCAAATTGTGAGGGGGGGAAATGCCAGGGGTTTGGGATGCTTCTAAACTAATTGCAGGAGCTGATGTAAGGAAGGATTTAGAAGGTAAGGGATAACACTGGACTAATTCTGTTTTGGGAGATTTAAGAATGGCATCAGGTACAGGCTCTTTAATCGAGAATAAAAGAGAAAAAGTCTATGTTCCAACAATATTTCTGCAGCCGAGATCAGAGCTCCCATACTGGTTTGGAACAGCTTTATCAAAACAGCATGACAGCCGCTGTGTAAATGCATTTTATTACTATTTCACTCACTATCGGCCCTTTTATGAGCTGTAAACCACCTATGCCAGTATGTGCGGCTTTGATCTGATCATCAACACGAGTCGATACAATCAGGTCGGTTCACCTTTCACACCCTGGTACCACTTTGTGAGTTAACACTTCAGCGCGGGTGCAATTTTCACCTGAAATACTTCTGTGGAGGTTGTTATCGAAAGTTCAGAAAATACTATTTCTGTAAGCTCTGTTGCCTTGTAAACATCACCTTTGAGGAATTGATTCTGCATTTCCAGTGGCTTGTGTGCCGTTTTGTCAACGGTAAAGAATAATAGGAATGAAAAATGTCATGCTCTGCGAAGCGGCTCTTTTTGCCTGACTTCAAACTGATTCTATGTCCTAGGATGACACAGTGACTAACAAAACACCTTCTCTTTCTCTCTAAACAGCAGCCCGGTTCATCAGAGGGTCATTCTCCAAACTAATTCTTCTTTTGTACCTGCTAGTTGACACATGATAACCTTTCTCTCCCTTTTGCACTCTTTTTTGCTTTCTTTTCCAATGCCTGAAATAGAAGTGGAGCAAAAAGGTAAATGCGTGGTCACCCCCCCCACCCCCTCTGGCTCCTTGTTCTGTGGTGTTGAGTACTACTCCCCCTCACGTTTCCACCCCCCTTCCTCTGTTGCCTTCTCTGTCAAATGAAACCCTTTTGGAGGATTGTTTGTGCACCTACGGGAGTCCAAATTAATCTCATAACGCCATTCCAGGTGACATCCAGGGTCACCAAATGTAGCCTCAAACTTCAGTGGATTTTTTGCAGGCATTCTTGAACAATGGCTTCCAGTTAGCTTGCTTGGCCCCAGTTCTGCTGCACCCATAGCACGTGATCTTGAATAGCAGTGATGGCTGAGTGAGATTGGCACAGGCTGAAAAAAGTCTGAAAGAGAAAAGAGGGAAAGGAAAAAACAGGAATTCAGTGTTCCCTGTTTATTTGGAACCAATTTTAATCGGGATCCCTGCCATGGCCTCCCTCACCCATCAGTGGATACACTCTTTAGTCTATTGCCACGGAAAAATAGTGACAATCCTTTAGCGCTGTTCAGTCTTGAGCCCCCAATCTCCACTTTTCATTTTATACCAATGCTTTGCTGCCGTCACTGCCATGACGACCTGTTATTCCCTCTTACACTACAATGTGTCTGCCCCCTCTTTATATTGCATTGTTTTATGTCCATGACCTGTGGATATGCATGTATGTCCATGTTCCCAACTGTATGTACAAGCTTAGGAAGGCTTTTTCACCGTCTTTCCATTCACATGTCTTTATTGCAGGTTTTATTTTTTTCTTACTGTAGTCTGGTTCTATCCCTGGTAGGTGTAGCAGCAGACCTTCTCATGCACACGTTTCATTCATGTTTTATGTTGTCCTTCATTAGGTTTATTTAAAAAGACATTAGTAAAAAGATTCAATCTTTCAAATTCACAGTCCCTGACCCTTTGTTCTAAGCGGCAAGAGTGATGCGTTTCATAGGCGAATGTATGATGTGTGAAAATAGATTCTTACGTTTCTTTTCGTTCTTTCTCTCTGTCACTAGTTTTCATATGTCCTGGGACGTTGAAAGGAGTGGGCGTCGCCACGTTCCTATTTGAAGCGGAGCAACAGGCTGGCTCTTGGTGCAAAGACCCCCTGCAAGCCGGAGATAAGGTCTTCTTCATGCCATGGACTCCATACCGCACCGACACTCTCATCGAATACTCGTCTTTGGAGGACTTCAAAAACGCCCGGCAGACGACCACCTACAAACTCCCCCACCGCGTCGACGGCACTGGATTTGTGGCCTATGACGGCGCCATTTTCTTCAACAAGGAGCGCACCAGGAACATTGTCAAGTTCGATCTGCGCACCCGCATCAAAAGTGGTGAGGCCATCGTAAACAACGCCAACTACCACGACACCTCGCCATATCGCTGGGGCGGCAAGACTGACATCGACCTGGCTGTGGACGAGAGGGGACTGTGGGTGATATACGCCACGGAACAGAACAACGGGCGCATCGTGATCAGCCAGCTCAACCCGTACACCTTGCGATTCGAAGCCACATGGGACACCGCCTACGACAAGCGGTCGGCATCCAATGCGTTCATGGTGTGCGGCGTGCTGCATGTCGTGCGCTCCACCTACGAAGAGAACGAAAGCGAGTCGAGCAGGAGCCAAATCGATTACATTTACAACACCAAGCTGAGCCAAGGCGAATACACTGATATCCCCTTCCCCAATCAGTATCAGTACATAACCGCTGTGGATTACAACCCCCGAGACAACCAGCTGTACGTTTGGAATAACTTTTACATTCTTCGCTACGACCTGGATTTCGGACCGCCAGACCCAGCTGAAGGTGAGGCCGCCTTTTGTTTTTTCTTCTCTCCGTAATTGTTGTCTGGTTGCAGGGATAGAAAGTCACAGATGGCTGCCTTTTAAATTTTGGATGCAATTCAGGTGCAGTGCCGGTGGTGGGAGAGAAGAGAGAGGGGAGTGAAAAAAACAGGGCCTCGTGTTAGTCTTGGGAGAATGGCGCCTCATTTGCAGACATAAATTACAGATTCACCTTGGAACAAGCTATAGCGCCCACAGGGATCATACGGCTGAAAAAACTTGGCTGCTTTATTACGCCGAACGCGAGCCGTGGCGCTTTCCCCCACTCAAACCTCGTACGCTATCGAATTCTTTCATCGCCAGCCTTTATCTAAAACCATTATGAGTGCTAGCCTCGTGAACTCCAGATACATCTGAGAAGTACGCTGTACTTCACCTTGGTTCGTTTTTGAAAATCCGTTGCCATGGCCACCCTGTCAACTTATTTTTTTTCTCTTCTCTAATAGATCAGGAGATAATAGCAGCCCCAAAGTGGCAACATGTTTTGAAAAGCCGGGTTGTACCACGTGGTGAAGGAAGGGAGTAACAGATGAATATTTGAAGGTTGGCCTGATGGATCAATTACAGTGGAGTCTTTTCATGCAGCCGAGGGCTTAAATTAATCTATGAGCAACAGGAGAGGCGACATACGTGTCATCCGAAGTCAACCTTACATCAAGACGATAATAGGGCTAATTGCCTGACAACTGCTTTATCCCACTATATCCCAGTGATCTCAAGCAGGAAAGCTACTGAACAGAGCAGGAAACTAGAACCTTGACCTAACCTTTTTTTTCTTTACAGCCCCTAAGAGCCGACCCCGATTATGATTTTAACTTCTGTATATTCAGAGGGGCTTTGCGAGTAGCAGTGGTGCAAGGAAATGCGATTCCCCAATGCTGGTGCCGTTTAAAGCAGGGGGGTCAGCGCTGATGTCTCAATGGAGTCTGTGTGCTCCTGAACTCTGGCCCCTTGTCAACACGTCTGTTTGTTTTCCTGCCTATTCCCTGGAATCTCTCCCGGCCTGATAACATGACACCCAAGGGGAAGATTCTATGGAAGACGATTGCATTGCGAGCTTATGGTTAAATCCTTGTTGTGTCCATGTCTGACTAACTCCCCCGCAATTAAACGAAGCAAAAGTTTAATGAGTTCCGCACACCGGCTCCACCATTCACGTCCTGATGTATGTAAATGTAATTAACAAGTAAATTATCATAATTAGCCTCTTTGTCTGAAAAGAGGCTTAGGGAGAAAGAGAAAAGTGGTCATCACAGACTATTTTTATTGAAGTGGGCTTAATGTGCCCGCTCAGCTTTTGTAATGCGTCGGTAAACACAGGGCTGCATAGGCTAACTTTAGGCGCCAAGCATTTAATCAACAAAGAGAACATACAAGTAGTTAGCTGATAATTCCACTCATTATTCCGCGCACTTGTTTTTCCATCTGCTGTTATTGCTATCCAATCAGAAATTGCAGATACGTCACTGGAGATCATTAGGTTTGCTTTATAGGGAGCATTCGGAATGAGTCTGCTCGCGTGTTTGTGATCGCCCAGAGCGGCGCGTCGTCGACCAAAGTGAATAGCACTTGAAACAAATTGCATCTGTGTTTATTGGCTTTAATTCTAGATCATCCCTTATAACATCTTTAACCGTTGGGATTTATGATATTCAGTCCACACGCCATTCTGTGCAGATCAGCTAATGGTGCTGAAACAGTCTCTCTCAAATGGAGCAGGCATGAATGAAAATGAATTGCAACTGCTATTATTCCTGAGTTGAAGAAAGTTTAAAAGCTCCGTAAGCATATGTTTAGCCTCGCACACGGCCGTAGCAGTCTGTTCTTTTCTGTCAGATCATTCAACCTTCCTCCCAGATGAATTTAAGTATGCTTTACACAGTGGATTTTATTTATTTATTTTTCAATCTTAGTGGAAAATATTTTACCCTTAGCCAATAACGTCCTTATTGGCTGAACTATGTTTGCAGATTCGCTAATTCTCTGCACTGCTTTCAGTGTTTATCCACAATCGATCCCAGGTCGAGCATTTCTCCTAACACTATTCACACCTATTTTAAGCAAACCTCTTTTTTGTAACAGCAGAGAACACGGTTCGATTGTTAGAATACCTCAGTTTTCAACTGTTACTTGCCAGCATGATTACACGCCTTCAGTATCCCAACACTTGCAACGACAACTGAAGAGTCTGTTGCAATGAAGTGCCTGGCCATTAAAGGGGACATGTCATGCTAAATGACTTGTAGAGAGATAGTAAATGGCTTGTTACAGCTGTGTTCCCTCATTGTTTGATCATTCATATTAAATCTTGCATGTGAGGATGTGTGCTCGTGTTTACAAAGCACTGAAAACCGGGTGCTTTTGGGTGCATTTTAAATCATGCACCCAAACCCACTCACTCTAATTGAGAAAATAACTGGAGGAAACATTCTTTGATTGATATGATTGATATTATTGAGACAAGGGCACCCGGTTCTGGCTTATATTATGTGAAGATTTTGGGCTTCCTCCTCAGTTTATTTCAATGAAGTACAGTCCCTTGCTGCATATTTCATTTCCTTTTTTGTGTTGTTGTAGTTGAGCATGTTTGTAGATTAGTTGCATATACACAAATGATTACAATGTTGCGTGATTGGTCAACAGTAAATGGTTTTATACTGCATGTGTGATGTTCCGATGTGCTTAAACTAGAGCTTCTCAGCAGGGAGCAGGCAGACTTGACCAAAACTTGCCAGACTAGTTTGAAAATCAATTAAGCCAAATAGAGTGTGGTTTATTTAACTTTGTCTGTATTCTTATTGGTGTGTGTGACCGCATTGAACAGGTCTAGTCAGGAAGCATATGCTGTTAGAATACTTCTATCGGACCATTTTGCACCGAGAATGACACCTCGACGTAGGCTTCAGACATTTAAAGCCATTTTGTGCTATATACCTGCACCTGCACCTGCGCATCACACAGAACCAGAAACAGACACCGCAGTCAGGAGGGACCTGCTGTAATCGGCGTGCTAGTTGTCATGGCGGGACAATGTTTTGGAGGTTGAAATTGTTTAAGTGGATATGACAGGGGAGGGTTTTTTTAATAGTATCCTGCTGGCTGGCACGGCAGTTGTGCAACGCTTCCTCTGACTCAGGGCTGAAAGATGGGGCTATTGTTATGTTATGCAGTTTGATCTTTCTGGCTTCCGCTCTCAGAGATGTGTCATTACTTTGAAGAGTTCTGGTCAGGTGGAGCATCAGAGGTACTCAAAGTAATCAATGTGTGTATATATAGAGCCGATAATGAGCAAAGTGGAAGAAAGTGATAAGAGTCCCATGCACAGTATTTTAAGAAGATGCAAGTTTTTTGTTTTTTTCCCCTTTGGTTTCATGTGGCATTTGATTATGAATATATCATGATGCAGCATCTGTTGGAAGCTGCCTTTTCAGATGTTTTCTTTTCCAAGTTACTTAGAGAAAGCTATCTGTTAAGACCAGGGATGTCGAACTCATGTTAGTGACGACCCAATATGCAAAAGTAATGACTGATCAGTGGCCGAATAAAAGTTGTTTTCTTAGTGGACAGTGGCATATTTCATCATATTTACTATTTAATAATTATTATTATGAAGGTAATGTGATAACGGAGATTACAGACTACTTTGATATAACATTATTTTGAATAGTATTTTCTGTTAGATTTTTCTAAACATTATTTCAGTTATTGTTTGTTTGGATTGACCCATAACTTGACTAAAGGTGAAGAAGGCTCCTAAATTTAGATTGATGTTATCTAACTATATGTAATTACATCCTTGGCCAGAGTCTATCTTGACATTTCTGCCTTTTGGATGTACGCTGTTTGTTCCCCAAATTCACTAATCACCGTTAAAATATCGTCTGAGAAACAAAGCCTTGGCATTCAGTTGTGCTTTTCACCAGAACCAAAACATAAAAGCTTAATTTGGCTCTTTGTAACTTTGTAATGTCCAATCAACGCAACTGCAGCAGTTCACGAATTGTGTGTCAGTATTTTATCCTTCATTGTGTTTGGCTGCAGTCCTTAGAAAACCACAGCTCACAGAAAAAAAGGAAAAGAGAAGAATAACGTGTCTGAGTCCAGAATAAACTTCGATTCAATGTTGAAAATACATTTGGGCAACAGATCATCTAGTGGCTTTTTATGTTTTATCGCTTACTTATTACCGCGAGAAGTATCTTGCCATAGTAAATATTGGATATTTCTCAAGGAGTCCATAGTGGAAAAGTGTTCAAAGCCAGTCATCTTTACAATTTTACTTTTCTTTTACTGCCAACAAGAAAAATATGTTATTCCCTAAATTTGTTTTAGAAATGTTTTTCATTCTTGCTGCAGTCCTAAATTGAAATTGTTGTTTGTTGAAATTCTGTCTTGAAATGACATCATACAAAAAAATATTGCCGTGGTCAAAACCATGTAAACTCTCCAAATTGCTTTCTTGGGTTTTCTCAACAGACCATCAAACCAACCAAATCTTACAAATACATCTTTTTGCTCAACTTTTTGCACAGAAACAGAATGACTCTTAAGTGGATTGACATGCAAGTGCAGACTTTCCACTTTTCACAACTTATGACCACGTTGTGCTTGTTTTCTGTCGTCATTTAGACTCAAAGTTGTTTTTTAGAAAGAGACACGAGTCATTTATATTGTCTTAAAGCTTATACGCCATAGCTCTCCCCTGATTCTTTTGATCACCGTCGACCTGTCACAATAATTACTTGATCGACTTATCATTCCCTGACAATATATTATTAGAAATTCTTGCTATTTTCTATGTGAAATGATGCGGTTTTAACTTTACCGGTTCTCAAGTTTTAGTACTCGATATTTCAATTCAATGTCATGTATTATTGTGTAGCCCTAAATCACAGCAGTATAGTTTTCTCGGAGGACTTTTCAAAGTTGTCGATTCACCAACACGGATCAGAGAATCAAACA